AAGCATCACATGTTTGTGTAAGTAAAACGTAGACATGGACCCAATGGACGTGGATACAAGAGTAATGAGTGAAGGCGAGTTCTGCATGGAATATGGCAGAAAAAATCCTGAAGCAACCTACGAGAAAGCGCGAGGCGAATATCACCACTTGCTCAACTGTCAGCTGAATTGGTTGCTAGCCACATGCATGTATGTACTTTCATCTCACCAGAATGATGATGATGAGCAGTTATCCAGTGGAACCAATTTTGGCAGAGGCAGCTGCTAGGCTTACGCAAATAATTTCTATGCGCGATTTACTTCGTCATCTTCTAACAGCTATACGTAGTGGTAGCTTGCAGCACGTATAATCTTGATAAGGGCTTGGGATTTTTGTGCACAGAATAAGACCATTGCCAATCAATATTCATGTCCTGTCCGTATTGCCGACTTCATAAATGATTGACTTAGTTCAATTTGTGATGCAACAGAAACGAGAACAAGAATTGGAGGATGATCGAGACGGGTTGTCCATGGCCATTTTTTTTAGCCAAAGTGATATCAAAAACTTAGCTAATGCAAAAGTTCTCTTTACAAGCTTTGCATACATTATGCAAAGAAGATCTACTTCAATTTTTACTTCGCAGTACAATAATATGCAAACGAAATCAGAAGAGTATTGATGATGCTGTAAATGTTCTAATTCGAATAGTCATGTTTTCCCCTTTATCTTCAAAACCGTTATTAAGAAGAGCAAATATTTTCTTTGCCTTTTCAGTTCTCTTACGAAGAATGTCGTTGGAGATTTTATCACCAATTTGTTTTCGAACTTCCTCATTAACTAATGTTTTGGATGCTAAATTGCTGTCTAAATTTTTATAATAATTTAAGCGCAGCGATAAAATATCCCCAAAGCAATAATAACATCGAATAACCTCCCGGTTTGTGCTTTCGTTTCGGAATTCTGCATGTGATTAATATTATCATTGAGCCGTAAAAATCCGTAGTGTTTTTACTATATACTTCAGATTTTCCAGAAGTTTCGGAAGTCTCTTCAGTGAGGGTGAGTCTTCTTTTTTAATTCGCTTTTTCGCTTTCTTACTGGATATATCTTCGAGAGATCTTGGAATTGGATTCAGCTTACGGAAGTCTATTTGTGGCAAGTCGTCGATAGAATTTACTGTGGGCAGATCAAACATTGTCAATACTCCATTAAGGTTGTTGTAAGTCGAAAAATCCTTTTGCGCTGAAGGAATTGTTAGAACCTAATTCGCATTTCTATTGTTTGAGCGACTATGTTCTCTGCTTCAGATATGGGAGTATTCTCACTTCGCGAGTCGTTTACATCCACCATATCTTCGTCCCGGATGCTATTGTGAGAGTCTCTCGTGTGGAGAGGCAATGGATGAGTATTGGAAGCCGTGACAGAATTACGCGGAGAGTAGCATTTATCGTGATATGACTGTTGAAATTAGCGTGGCTTTCATTCGTTACTTGTTTCAACTCATGCCCAACGTAGTCAAAGCACCTCATGACAGGTTCTTGTTTTTCCGCGTTCAGATGTCCCAAGCATGTCTTTTTTTGCTGTCGTTATGACGCTTTTAGCCTGAGTGATTGGTTTATTAGCTTCTTCGAGGTCTCATTCAGTAAGAGCGAAGGGCGATCTCCGTAGGCCGGCACCGTTGTTTTAAGCCCAACCGTCAGTGGTGGTCGAAATACAGTAACTCGTCATTGTTTGTTATATACTGGTTGAGGAAATGGCCATGTGGGCTATCAACAAATTGTTGAAATATGGTTTGGGGCTCAGCCTCGGCCGGTATCGGTGTTTCGGATGCTAAGAGGGAATACAGTCAAAGCTGGTTATAACGAATTCTACGGGACCAGAGAAAATATTCTTTATAACCAGAAATTCCTTATAACGA